CATGACCTACGCACAACTGACCTGCGCATTAACCTCAGATAAACAGTGGCCTCTCACCTTTGACACCTGAGGTGCCACTTGATGAACAGGTGTCATGTGAGCGCCCCTTTTTTGATGGGGTCACGTTCACACTTTTGGAACTTCCGCCTGATACCTCGTGGCCTGCAAATCTCTCTCATTTGCATTTTGGCCACTGTACTGTGTACATATAGTTCTGCGAATTGTTATACTGTTACGCGTATTAATTTCCCTGCGTTATTTACTGTTCTTGACCCGCGCCCATATTGTGACTATCTTAATTGGATCAATGAGTCTCAATATTGACTGATTCTCTTCTGATTAAAAGTGACTATTTTTGACCAACGTGCACGTGTTTGTGATTCATAGACCCTCGAACTCCTCCCGTAAAAATCCATTTTTTTGCCCATCTGTCATTTATTGTCATCCCACATTTTTTTACCCTCCTATACTAGATCTGGCATCCAACATTTTGGTCCTTAGAGCCGAATAGGCGGAATATTTTTTGGTTTTTCGCGGATTTTGTTGGATTTTTCGACAGTCTGAAGTGACCAGCGGGATCGACAGTAACACTCATCGTTCGCTCATCGTCACCAAGTTGGCGGGAAATTAAGTTCAGCGACCAGCGGTGCTCATTCTGATTTTCTTGCGCTGCCTCAGAGACTTGCGTTACCGACAGCGACTCGGCAGATGTCCACATCGACCATCTCCAGGCGGGAACTTTAGATTGACCAGCGTTCTCTTAAGGGAAGTTTTCTTTTTTATTTCTTCTTTATTGATTTTTTTTTGGATTTCTCGTGTCTGCGAACAACTGGACCTGCGTCGTCGATTTATTGTTTTGGAATTTCGAGATTTTTTAAAATTAGTTTTGAAATTTCACAATTTTTGAAACCTTCGTTTTTTGGATCATCGGACCAGCGCTTCCAGTCTCCATTGATTTTGCGCGGCTTTTTCTAAGCGGAAAAATTCATTTTTTGAATTTGGACCTGCGTTATTGGTTTTTATTTCTCATTGCACATCGTTTATTTCTTTTGTTCGACGTATACTTCTCTGAGTGAACATATCATCTCTTGATGCCATACGCGCTCTCCAGCGGACCCGCGCTAAATTATTTGAAAATTTAAGTTTAGATCTTTTGAACGACGATCCCTCGAGGCAAAGCGTCATTACCCTTCGTGAACAGCGAGCTCTACTCGAGAGTTGTTTTAACAAATTGGAGATAACTTACAAAGAGATGCTGACAAATCCTTAATGCTTTAAAGTTAAGGACCTGCTCGATTCAGAGTATATGAAGTTCGGAGACTTTGATCGTGCTCTGTCTCAGTATGCGCCAGCTCCTCGATAAGTATAGTCCAGATAAATTCATGGAGACCGCGATAAATAAATTAAGGATGCACGATAGGCCTCTGTATGTACTATCATCTGCATCAGATGCGAGTGCTCGCTCTGAGAGTGTCGTCCAGCTTGATTGATCCGAAGCACCTGATAATGCTTTAACGGACAGTGGTTACCCTTGCTCAACTCTGAAGATACAGTTCACTTAGAAAACTCAACAAGGTGCAGGGAAGGTGCAATACCCTTGTTCTTTTTGCCAAGGGAATCATTACATTGCCTCGTGTAATGAGTTCAAGAAGTTGACGCCCGTCGCGAGAAAGGAGGACTGTCTCTACTTTGCTTCAACTGTTTGGGCCAGCACAGCATCAGGATATGTCAGACCACTCGCACGTCCCTCCAGTGCCAAGAGAGGCATCATACCCTGTTGTATCTTGATCGTTTCCGTCGTCTAGCTCAACGTGGTCCTAGGTCTCAAACAGCTATTCTCACCGATGCGTCAACTAAGCGTCAGAATACCTCTGCTCCATTGAACAGCGTACCTGTCGTGATTTATATTCACACACGTGGCAGCTTTCAGGCTTATATCTTCTCCAACGCTCAGACCTCAGATGTGATCAGGACGTCTACGTTGCCCACCGTTCAGGCCTCTGAATCGCCCAACGTCGGAGCCTCCATCTCAACAGAAGTTAAGGCCACCGATTCGTCCAGCGTTCAGAGTTCTACATTGTCCGTCGTTCAGATCTCCAAGTCGTCCAGCATTCAGATCTCCAGCTCGTCCAGCGTTAAGGTTTCCGGTTCGCCCAGCGTTCAATTGTCTGAGCCGTCCAGCGTTCAGGCCTCTCATTTATCAAGCGTTCAGACGTCTGAGGAGACCAAGCTCAAGGTCTATGATTCGACCTCCGCCATGACTTCCGACTAGACCATCGAGGAGATCGAGGACTCCATGAATGATTGGAGCCTCATGTGAAGTTGCTCATCGTCTACTAGTAGATCGACCAGCTCAATGACTCATCGTATTGCCCTATGGATAGATGTCACCTAAACACTCAATTGTTCTCCGTCATCGGTTCAGTCGGTAACCACTTCTCGATGCTGACGGGATGACCTTGCTTTCTGGCGCCACCCACACTAGACATGCAGTCACTGCCTCCAGACATGATCATGGTATCTCTGGCAATGTATGTCAGTACTGATTTGCTGACGGCGGGAAGGATAAATGGATCGCTCATTCTTCCCTCTCATTTCAGTTTGAAGTATAATATTCTATTGATCACCGAGTAAAAAGTAAATCACAAGACTGCTCATTCATAGGATAGCTCTACGAATTCATCATTCCTCGAACGAGCTGTCGGACTTTGATGAGGATTCACGCCCCTCATTATCGAACCGAGCTGAGTTTGAGAGTAAGTCTTTTGGGAATCAATGGAATTTACGCCTCCGTGAGTCCTGACTTTACTTATATTGAGATCATCGCGTTGAGAATTTACTCAATATATGCTAATGGACCATCTTTACTCAACTTTTCAATTGACCTTTGATATCTCAGTTCTGAGTTGAGTTTTCTCCAGACCAACGTATACAAATATAAGTCGGAGACATTTGACATATCTCAAAGGGAAACCATGGTTTAGCATTTGGAACATTGTTTTGAACTTGCGTAGTTATTGAGCTGCTGCAGACAAGCAGTCAAGCTCTGAACAGTCAAGTCAAGATCTGAACAGAACGATCGGCAATGCTCTGCTCACTTTTGAGTAACTCATTACTTTGCTCGCGCAAATCGATGCGGTGCTCAAAGCGAGACCACTTGAACCTCTCTCCGAAGACCCAGACGATATTAGTGGGGTCACTCCTGGACATTTCCTGATTAGTCAGGCGTTGACAGCAATACCTGAACCTTCTCTGGACCATTTGAACATCGCTCGATTGTCCCGCTGGCAACTCATCCAGCAGAAGGTCCGGTACTTCTGGAAGCAGTGGTCTACGAGCTATCTGCAACAACTTCAGTCCATCTGGAAGTGGCACCCCCCTTCGCACAGCATCAAGGTCGGCTCCATAGTTCTTCTCACTGACGAGAGGTTCCCACCAACTATGTGGTTTTTCGCTCGAGTCGTCGCTTTCCATCCTGGTAGAGATAGACTCACCAGGGTGCTAACCATCAAGACGCCCAACTCTACTCTTTAAAGACCCATCTCGGAGCTTGCTCTGCTGCATATGTCGATCAGCGATACTGAGGACCATCTCATATCAAATGAGCTCTACTCCATTTGGCTCACCGCTTGTCTACATTCGGATCGGGTCATGACGAGGCTTTACGACCCGCGCCTTGGCAACTGGCTCGGATTGACCGTGAGTCTACCGGAGCCGGATGGAATTTGCGACTGCAACAATTCCGGTAGAACTCACGATTGGCCAGCGCTGATGAACTAGTGGTGACGTTGCTCTTCGAAAAATTATTGTCCTGAGCTCGATTAATCTCTTTTTGCTTCAGATTCAATGGCATCAGCAGTTGCTGAGGGCGGGGAAGAATGTTCGCTTTTCTACCGAATTATTTTTCTCACACACACACACATACTCATGCACACTCCTTCCGCTCGCATGCTTGCATGGTCTACGTACAACTGACCTGCGCAACAGCCTCAGGTGACCAGTGGCCTCTCACCTTTGACACCTGAGGCGCCACATCATGGACAGCTCTCATGTGAACGCCCCCTTTTTTGACGGGGTCACATTCACACTTTTGGGACTTCCGTCTGATACCTCCTGGCCTGCAAATCTCTCTCATTTGCATTTCGGCCATCGTACTAAGTACATATAGTTCTGGGAACTGCTATACTGTTCCGCCTATTAATTGCCCTGCATTATTTAAATACTGTGAACTGCGGTATTCACTGTTCTTGATCCGCGCTCATATTTTGCCTATCTCAATTAGATGAACGAGTGTAAATATTGACTGATTCTCTTGTTATTAAAAGTGACTATTTTTGACCAACGTGCACGTGGTCGTGATGCATAGACCCTCAAACTCCTCCCGCATAAATCTATTGTTTTTTTTGCCCATCTCTCATTTATTCCTCCTACACTAGATTCGGCATCGAACATATGAATGTCGCATTTGTGAATGCCCCGAAAATATTGTGTATCATTATTGTCCGTCGAAGAATAAATGAATCAATTGATTTTTGTCTGGCCTCTGCGCTACAAAGAAATTAAAGAAAACGAAAAAGGCGAAAAATGGACTAATATTTATCCGCATGATACTATCGTATCTTTATTCAAAAAGTATATGATAAAATAAGAGCATTTTTTTTTAGTTTATCAAAATTCGTCAATTTGTTCATAACATATTTTTTTTTTCAAGATTTGAACATTTGTCATATGCTTTAGAGAAACAATTAATGTTAAAAAAGCGCAAATTTAGAGCAAGCATGCACTCGTGAAGTACTTGATAGTAAGCATACCAATTAAGGATTCACAGAACCAAAAAAATTCAGTGCTGCTGAGTTGACAAGGAATGTCTCATATATACGCCCGGATTCGAATCCCGACTGGGCGTTGCGCGATTTTTTCTTCCCAAATTCGAATTCACTGTAAATTTTGACAAATATTTGAATTGTTCTTACCGAAAACAAGCACATGATTCTACGTACCCCTTCCTTTTGTAACATATTGCATACATCAGTGAAGAAGTATCCTTGTAGAAGGTTTTCATGAATCAAAAGTGTCTCCATAGCATTGCACGCCGCTGGGTAGTCACACTTCGAGTCCCTAATAATTTTGATGGCTTTTTGGAGATCCGCATCTTTGTCTACATAAACATGACAAATTCCCTCAGCATGTCCGAGCACAGGAATGTGTTTTGACTGTTCTTGAATTGACCTAACAAGCTCAGCGCTCCCCCTAGGAATTATCAGATCTATATGTTTCTCCATCGATAATAAATCTTCAATCTCTTCTCTGGTAGAAACCAATGAAATTGCATTTGATGCACCAACAGATTTTAGGGATTCTTTCACGAGTTCTATAAGAAATCTATTACTGTGCGATGCTTCCTTTCCACCTTTCAACAACAGTCCATTGGCACTGGACATGGCTAATGCAGCTACTTGTGGCAAACTATCTGGCCTCGACTCAAAGATTACGAGGAGCACTCCAATGGGTACAGTTATTTGCTTCAGCTCAAGGCCTTCAGCAATCTTAGTTCTTCTCAAGACTCTCCCCACGTTCGTTAAAGAACTATCGGCAATCTGTCGAAGTCCAGCGCTGAGGGATTGAAGTTTTGATGGTGTCAGAGAGAGTCGGCTTAACAACGGCTTTGCTAGTCCAGACTTATCGGCGTCTACAAGGTCTTTAGCATTGGCGGCCAATATTTCTGGCTGTCTAGACTGGAGAAGATCTGCTAGAGTACTAATAGCTGTTGCTCTTTCCTCGGGCTTCAAGGATTGAAGAATTCTGCTACCAGTTCTCGCGTTTTCTGCAGTCACCTCGACCGGTTGTGACGAGCCAGATGACTCTGTAAAAAGAGTACCAATCTTCCTACCCGCCATTATGCTTTTTATCGCCTGTTCTTGTGATCCATTACAAATTACCACTGATACTGCACGATCTAAGGCCCAGAGAGCAGCATTTACCTTGGAATCCATTCCGCCAGTACCAAGTTTTGATTTTCGCCCGAATTTTATCGTTCCTCGATGATCAGAAGTGAAAGTATGAAGCATTTTGGCGCCATCATGCCAAGGGGGCAAATTATAGATGCCATCGACATCACTCATGAGAATCAAGAGATCAGCTTGCACCTCAGCTGCTAACATTGCTGCTAGAGAATCATTATCGTTTATTGATATGCCTCGGCGTTCACCCCCACCTTTTATTTCCTCATCTGCTAAGAGCGGTGGCGAGACTGCGTCATTTGTATTTATTATTGGGACTATGTTCAGGCTTATTAGCTCACTGAGTGTGCTGAAGAGATTTTTGCGGGTTTCTTCGTTGTAGAAGTCAGGCTTTGTTACCAGCACTTGAGCAATTTTCACGCCGTACTGCGCGAACATTGCATCATAAAGAGACATTAGACCTGATTGACCCACTGCAGCTGCTGCTCGTGGCTCCAACAATGTCCCTAGAATAATAAGGTGATTATGAATATTGATTTCCAGAAAGCGGGTGGAGAGGAGTCGTATTTTACGGTTATGGATTTGCAATTATGTTAAGGAGGACGAGGAAAAGAAAATTTCAATATCATTTAAAGGTAATGGTTTTGGTGTCGGACATTTTAATAATTATTTAAATATTTCATTTTGTTAGTTTGCAATGATGAGATTTTATGACAAAATTCATCGAAAATATTATATATATCACCATCTTATATACAGGGCGTCATGATACAATAAAAAACGTCAAATGAAAGTTGTTCTACGTACTCGTAACGGAATATACGTCGAAATATAATAATTTAAGCTTTATTAAAGGTTCTGCTCCACATTTAACCTACGGATGTTCACGTAGATGAACGTAGGCATCCCAAAAAATGTTCAATATTCTCGCGTGTAATGGAACCAGACGTTATGTTATAATGATATCATCGTGACGTCATGCCAGATCACGCCACTGTCCACATCACACCCCCACCACAAATACATAATCACGTGACAATCGCCTACAAAAACCGGACTACGTGTGAGACGTGATCAGTCCTTTTCTTTCCGTATAATCCAACGGATTATATCCTGTAGAACATATCCCTCCCAACGGTGGCCATCACCCATGGATCTCCCATTGTAAACTGTTCCATATAACTTTAACAGAGACTCGACGACTGATAGTCAGCGAGTAACAACTCTAGCGGACTCGTCCTATACTTTTTATACCTGTCCCAACGATACTTAGCGATCCGCGTGGATACTGGGTCCCTGAAGAGTTTTATCCTATTTTTCAGAAGGTACAGCCAGATCCTCCAAACCTGATTCCTAACGAAGTTTATTATAACGGTCCCAACGATACTTCCGTATCTGCATGGACACTGGATCCCTGGAAGAAGAACAATTTTTTTTAATCCTGAAATTCGAGGAAGTTTGCTCCAACGAGACCGAATCTCTGTGTGAACGATGGACCTTTGCCCGATTTCACTGAATTTATAACAACCCTCATCGTCCCGCAGTACATACACGACACGACACAACGTTCATCCCGGCACTAACGGACAGCTTAATGATCTTTGTGATTTAAGAGCCGTGCCTAGTGGGCCACTTCCCATTCTCTTATTATGTGCACGTTTTTTTTCTGGAGGTAAACAAATTTTCCTTACGCACATACTTCACGTTGAAGATTCCCGGAATATAGTGTCCTGCTCGGTCTAGTCAAGGTGGTGGCAACCAGGAGTCATCATGGTTGGTCAGATCCGGCTTGTATCGGCTCGGGACATTTGCAACCCATACGGAATAAAAAAATGACCCCTATTATAGGTCTCCGGCTTCCTCGTAGAATCGCCGCTAGGGATACAGCGCGGGGGGGGGGGG